AAAATTTTGAAATGACATAATAAGTATCATTATAGTAAAGTTATGTGTAAAGATTGTATTAAAACAAACAGTAAACCCAATAACTTTATTTGAATGTATTTTTTGGAAGGTATTTGACTTAGTGAGTATAATGATAATAATATATATAGTTTTCATAATAAAATAAGAATAAGAAGGGGTGCAAAAGAACAAAAGAAAAGAGAACTGCCATGAGTCTTTTCTTATGCAACTGAAGGATAAGCAAGACTTTCAAACTTAAATAGACTTTGATTAGAGGTTCCATTCCACTGTATTAGTTATTTTAAAAATTCTTGAGTTCCTAAGCTAGAACTTACTTGTGATAAAGAGTGTAAAGTATTTTTTCTTGACAAAAATTATTATAAAAGGAAAATTTTTAACAAAGTAAACATAATTAAAAAAGAGTTTTTTTTTAATTTTATTCAAAGACTTTCTTATTATACTGTATATAATATTATCATTAATCTTTTTTTTAATTAAAGTAAAAGTGTTTTGAAAAAGATATAAAGGTTTTGGTTTTTTGTTTCAAAATAAAAGTTTTTATTTTTTTATTAATAATTATATTAAGTTTGTTTCAAGAAATATATAATTCATAATTAAGTTTTATCAGTTTTTTAAAGATATTGATTTTATTTTCATCTAAAAAAAAAATCTATATTAGTAATTCAAGAATAAATTGAGAATATTAAAAGATATTGAATATGAAAATATAACTTTAATATTAGTATAATTTTTTTTAAATTTTTTTCTAAGTTTTAAATAATATTAATATTATTTATAAATTTTTTGTTTATTTTTTTGAACTTAGACTGGAATTAGTCATATTTTGAAAGAATTTGTAAACTTTAGAAATTTGATAATAAAAATCGAATAAATGATATAGGCAATATAGTTTTGTTATAATTGTAAATAATAACCATAAGGCATTTGTTTATATCAATAATTAAAATATTGAAAAAAGTTTGTAAAGATTTAATAATTTGATTCTTGAAAGATGCAAAGACTTTTTAAAGTTTTAAAAGTTTTTATTTGTGAAAAAAATCTTGATTTTTCTTATATAATAGTTTTTTAACAAGTATAAATGAATCAGGAAAGAGTTTTTTCATATAAAAATTTATATAAAATTATTAATTAATTATTAATAAAATATGAATCTTATTTTTAGAATATAATAAAAAAAGCTTTTTTATTATTAATAAATTGTTTGTTAAATTTTATTAAAAAGTAAGAGGCTTAATATTAAATTGTATATTATTTTTTAAAAAAATTTTTTATTAATAAAAAGTTATTTTACGTTCTATAAATTTAATAATTGATTAATATTATTATTTTATAATTAATGTAAAATTTTATTTTTTAAATTGCTATCTTTTTTAAATTATACAGTATTTTAAAAATAATATTCTGATATATTGTATTTAAAAAATTTTTTACAAGACTTTATTCTTTATATATTAAATAAAAATAAAGATTTTAAATTTTAAATATTTTTTTTGGACCAGACTGTACAGGTGTTATAATTAGATGTGTAATTTTTTAAAATATTTGAAAGACGATTTTCGAATTATTAAACAAATCTTCAATAGCATATACTGTATATAATATCGCAATCTTTCGTTTTTGACTTTTGATTTATTGAGTTCCTGTATACAAATCATAGTACATATAAGTAATACGGAGTGTTTATTCCGGTACTTGCAACTGGCAACATCAATTCTATGACCAAGGGAGATTGAAGTATAAAAAAATACGCATTTTTGCAATTGTGCAACAAATGCAGACTATAAATATTAGTATTATATAAGTTACGTATTTTTGAAAATTGCAAAACACTTTCAACAATGTCTCTATTAGAAAATTCGCAATCAAAAGACAGATGGGTTGAAGGGCTCGAAAATTCTATAAACGAATTGACACTGAGGAAGTTCGAATATAGCGACTTTGAGGATGTTGAATTTATAGGAAATGGTAGCTTTGGAAAAGTATATAAAGCTTCTTCAAAAAGTATCAAAAAAATGGTGACGATTAAAAAAGTTAAAATTTTTGATGAAACTTCGGCAAATATATTTCTCAATGAGGTATTTTCATTATATTATGTACTGTATGTAGTAACCATAGTACATAATAGATGGTGCTTAACATGAGTGAATATATAGCTTAGGTTGTATCACGATGTTGACCTTGATGAGAATATTTTACGACTTTACAGAATTTAAGAAAGGTAGTTGATTAATTTAGGCAATTATAAAGATCCGCAAAAACCAGAATATCTTAGGGTTATTGAATATGCAGATGAAACTTTGCGGAAAAACCTTCAAGGGAATTTAAATGATTAAACTGGAAAAATAAATTACGCATGGATAAACAGATTATAAGCGCAATTACGTACTTACACGAAAAAGACATTATCTATAGGGAATTGGTTGGTAATCAATTCAAAGTTTATATTCGTATAGTAAGGATATTTTTAAATTAATATATATATTTTTTATTTTTAGTATCCAGGAAATATTCTTATCCGAAATGGAAACATAAAATTTGCAGATTTTGGGCTGTTTAATAAATTAAGAGATGCTATAAATACTCAAACTGCTAATACACCAGTTAGAGTTATAACATATATTGATCTGGAATGTTTTAAGAAAAAAAAAAGAAGATTCTTATTATAAAAAAACCAAGAAGTCAGACATTTACAGCTTAGGCGTTTTACTCTGGGAACTTACAAGTGGATACCCCCCTTTTAGTTCGAATGGATACGACGTAGAGTTAATTCATCAAATTTCGGAGGATCTTCGAGAAACGAGCATGAAAGGAACGCCTCAAGGATATATCGATATTTATGAAGGTTAGCATATGATGGAATAAACAAATAATATATTCGTATTTCGTTAATGATTGGTTTATTTTTTAACTTTATTAGCCTGTTGGGACGAAAATCCAGACAAGAGGCCTGAAATAATTGTGGTTAAAAAATTGCTCGACTCATTAGATACGACAATTAAATCTGGTACTTCTCAATTTCATGAGCTCGACACATTAAATGAATTATATCAACTTATTGTAGATCAATTAATTACAGGATTTACTAATTCGAAGTTAACGACTTGTATTAACACGTTCATTGAGAGCAATCGGACGACCTCAGCACGGATTTTTAGTTTATTAATTAATTGCCAGGAAACTCCTCAGAATGCAATCATTCTCGGTGCTCTTTATCAAAATGGAATTGGAACCACCCAAGATTACAAAAAAGCATTCCAATGGTATTAGAAATCTGCCGAAGCTGGAAATCCTGACGGACAAAATAGCCTTGGAACTTGTTATCAAATTGAATCGGGACCATTCAAAATTACGAGAAAGCATTTCAATGGTATCTAAGATCTGGCAAAGGTGGAAGGCCAGATGGACAAAATAATCTTGGAATTTGTTATCAAAATGGAATTGGAACTACTCGAGACTATAAGAAAGTATTTCAGTGGTATCAGAAATCTGTTGAAGCTGGAAATCCCCACGGGCAAAATAATCTTGGAATTTGTTATCAAAATGGAATTGAAACCACTCGAGGCTACGAGAAAACATCTCAATGGTATCTGAAATCCGCGAAGATAATCTTAGAATTTTGTTATCAAGAGTGGCAATGAATTGGAACCATTAAAGATGACGAGAAAGTGGTCCCCGAGATCTGCCGATTAAAATAATTGTGACGATAAAAAATAATTTATTTATTTATTTATTTATTTTATTTGTTTTATTTTACTTCCTCCCCCCATCCTGCTCCCACTCCGCTTAATCTACATTTGCACATTTTCTAGAACAAAAATCAATAAAATATATCTTGAGAAAGACGAACATGTAATTACGATTTAAAGGGAAAAATAAATCAATAAAATAAAATAAGTACTGTAAATAATAAATAAAATAAAAAGATCATCGAACTAAAAAGTTAAGGTATGCCCTTAATTCCCCCCCCCCCCCCGAGGTTCATTCTAAAACGGTTATTTATTTAACGGGAATAGGGAGAATAAACATTACAGATCCGTTAAAAATAATTATACTAAAATAATAACTAGCGAAACCACATTATTCTTAAATTTACGACACGAATACGAAAAATTAAGGCATGCCCTTAACTTTTTCCAAGGTTCGGTCAGGTCACAAAATTAAAGATAATATACTGTAAAACGTACTAAACGGATCAGTGCGGAACAAAAAAAAAGAAAAAGAAAAATATACAGTATACCTTGAAATTAAATAAATAATGTTATTTATATTATTTTTCTTAATAATTTTTTTTTAAATTTTTTTAATAATAATTTCTTTGTTTTCTAATTTAAACGTAAAATTACTATTTCAAAGTAATAGTATTAATTAGATATCTGTAAAATTTTAAATGATCTAATCTAAAGAAAAAAAATAAAAAAAATAACGATAATAATAAATAAAGTAAATAAGTAAGATACCGTATATAGTTGATCTAAAAAAATCGAATATATTGCAAAAACTTTTGAAAACATTTTTTTTTGTTTAAAAACTATTGTAAAAAAAAAGAAATAAAAATTAACTTAAAAATCATACTAATAATATTAGTTCTATAAATAAATACATAATTAAAATAATAAAAATGAATTATAAGAGAGATATATTTTCTTTCATAAATAAACAATAATACCTAAACATATAATTTATCTTTAATAATATAAAAATATAATTAAATATATAAAATTATATTATTTTTATAAAAAACTTTAGGTTATATTTTATATTTTTTCCTTTCTGGAATGAAATAGTCATGTATCCACTAAGTAGTATCAAGTTTTTGAGAATACAAGAATCATTAGGGATAATCGAAAAGTAAAATTATACATACTTTTTTGTGTTTGAATATGTTTCTTACTACGCCAGAGATCACACATAACATCACCATTTTACTGCAAATAAAACACGTAAAAAATTTTCTTGTCGTTTAACCTAACACTCATAAAATGCCACCAAAATATCAAGGTCGTAAAACTTTCCACAAGGTACCCAGTTTACCGAGCGATGATGACTCTAGGAACAGCCCGGAACAAGAGGGGTATGCCTGTGAATGAGAATAACATCAAAACACCTTGCTTATCGACACGTGCTCGCGATTTCTAGGGATGATATCGTTCAAATCTTTGCCGCTTTTCACAGTAAGTCACACGACGGATTGTTTTAAAACAAATAATTTTTCAAATAACGTGCTTGCGAAAATGAATTACCCGACATGTGCATTTCCGCGAAGATCGTATGGAGAGGAAGGCTAAAGACATGCAAAGAAGACTCTCATCAGATTGTGAAACCGTGATACAACATATAACTGAAATGGCTCATGAACTCGTCTTTCGGCAAAAGCAAGAACTGTAAGGCGTGAAAAAGTGAGGATTTTGAGCAGAGGAGTATATCCGACTAATATTTTTAAATTCGGATCAGGGAAGCCAAAGTTAAAGGATACAAGCGCAAACAAGAAGAATTAGAAGAGGAAAACCTCGCGGTTATAAAGAAATTGCGATCCGAGGAAGCCAAATACTTGGTAATTCAACGAACATTCCTTTTCGAAAGGTAGAAAGAAAACAATGGTGATGATCGTAATTTTCTAGAGATTACACGATTCGATAATCAGCGAACTCGATAAGGTCGAGATGGCGCAAATGAAAACAATTCAGGCGTTTGAAAAGAAATATTCGTCATTTATCGATGGTGAGTGAACAAAAATCGAATGATTCATCGAAAATTCCATTATCTGACGAAAATGTACAGATTCAAATGATCAACTACAAAGTCCGATAGTCGGAAAAAGTACCTTGGAAAACCCGTTTGTCGACAAAATGAGGCAGGTGTCGTTTTTAAAATTTGTCAGATGTCCTGAAAAAAATGTTCATTCATAGGTTTGTCATCTTTTTAGTGACCTCGAGATTTTCACACGCACATAGAATGACAATTCAAAAATGTTGTAAATGTTGTAAATTTGATTTGTAATGGAAAAGTCATTATTATGTAAAGAGGTTTACACAACGGAACACGTTCGAATAAGTTGATTACCACAACGGTTATGCGTACTACGTGCGTTATGATAATGATAATGGATCGATGCATACAAAATCACAAACATTTCATCATCCCTTCCATTCTGGTGTTACTTTCCGTTTAATAAAGAAATTTCTGCATTTGTAAGTATAGATCACGTGCTTTATTTTACGCGAGAAGGAACTCGCATAACCAACACTATGTGCAAACGCATCAACAAACGACTCTGTTGTTTTTAGACACAGTACATCAGAGCGTAGACGATAAAAGCGGGTTTCACAAGATTATAGAGAGAAAAAGATAAATTTTCTTCCTTGGCATCTCAAAACATCATGTGTTGTTAAATGAACGGGGACTTTGACAGTGTCGCGCGCCCAAATTTTATTTTATATAAAATGATCTAAAAAAAGAATTTATCATTTATTTATAGGAAAGATTGTTTAAAGAAGAATATTGTCTTCTAAAAAAAATGAGAAATGAGATTCGTGTTAATCGGAATTCATTTTTTTTTTAACCCTGAAATTCCCTTTTAGGAATTTCTTGGCAAAGAATAATCACCTCTTAATTTGCATCATCTTTAAAATCAATGAACCTTTCTTCTCAGAAGACCTTTATTTTGATTTAATACTATTAAATCCATGCATATTGATAAAGTAAACTTTTAAGGTATTTTTTAAAAAAAATTTTATTATTATTATTTATTTAGATTCGTTCAAATAATAATAATAATAATAAATCATGCACTTAAACGTACATAAGTAATACCGGAGCTCCGAGGGATTTTCCGCGTCCACTCGATCCGTGAATTAAGACCAAATCAGATATATGGAATCAAGTAAGCTTTAATTTAAAGCACCGACGGAAGTTTAACCAAAATTTGGACTTACAAAAGAAGATTTTTAAAGAGAAATTATTTAAATCATACTTACGATTATAATAATAATCTCTTGGCTTTGCAACAACTGATACGGCGTACACACATGCGCGTGCACATGTTCATTTTGGACAACAGTTTACTACGTGCAATTGTAAAGGAATAAAAAATCAAATCATCAAAAATACATATGTCATGTTACGCCATGTACTACATCGTGTGCGGTGGGTATTCAAACAGAAAGAATTTGAGGAAAAAAAAATCAAAACAATTGTACCGAAAAGACAATGTGCTACTTTTTAATTATAAAAATTTACCAGGGAATTAACGAGTACTCTGGCTTCTAGAATAAAACAGTGTTCTATTTTTAAATGACCTGCAGAATAAATTTAGTAAACAAGTTTCTTAAAAGGTTAGCCTGCATTATGTAAGGAAATGTGATGCAAAAAGGCCAAGAATTTTTCCAAAAAGCTAACGGAAATAATAAGGAAGGGCCGATCGTAATTCCGTGAAACGTACATACATGTTCACATCAAAAATTTATCCTCCCGGATCGATCACTAGACCGCTACTAATTATAGATTTAGGACCAAAGAGTCCGAAAAAAAAATTTCTAAATAAAACATGATTTTAAATATCATTATTATTAATCTTGGCGTTTATCAGCACAGGGATTTAATGGTACCGTGTGATTTGTGTGAAGATGATTTTAGGAGATACCTATAAATATGAAGGATTTTGACGTTTGCAAGTTGAAGAAATAAATTTGCGCAATAAAAAAAGAAAAAGCGATACAGCGAGGAGTACAAAACAGAACAATAAGACATGAGCGAACAAACCCAACTCCAGTTACTCGTCCCTTCTTCATCTCCTTCATCTCCATGTTCTCCTCCTTCCCACAACCCGCAAGACGAAGATCCACAGGGTCATGATTTGCTTCCGGCCTTTAAGTCCTATCCTCAAATCAAACCCAAATTCCCGCCTCAATTGAACCCACGTGATCTAATCGTGACAAAAAAATCTCAAGATGAAACTCTACCCCCAATTATCTCGAGGGTACCTAATGCCTTTATCATTTATCGCAAGCAATTCGTGAAAAGTGCCCGTGAACAAGGTTACTTCTTGCCGATGACCGTGATTTCATCGATGGCTTCGGCGTCTTGGGAAAACGAAGACGAAGAGGTTAAACTTGAATACAAGAGGATAGCAAAGGAGGTTTTAAAGTGTAAAAAAGAAATGTATCCCAAGGTTAGCAATAGGAAAAGGAAGGATAAGTGGAATATTGTTCATTATCGACCTAGATCTTTAAAGAATGGTGGAAGGAGAACGAGTGTAAAAAAAGAGGAGATAAGGGACCAGAATACTGACATGAGTTTTGGTGACGATGCGACTAAAGCCAATGGCGTGAGCGACTGCTGCGATACTATTGGGAATGATGTGAATTGGTCAGTATACCTGACTCCTGCACTTTCAGAGTCAACGTCATCGTTATCATCCCGATCGTCAGTATCATCGCCGACATTCGGTCTGACGCCTCAGGATCATAAGATTTCGGATCTTTTGTCTGAAATTTTTAATAACTCTGATATCCATAAAAACGACGATATCACCAGCTCGACTGGCTTATTGAACTTTGACCATTTGACACCAACTTCCACACATTCGAGTCCAGTTTTGTCGAATGAGTTGATCGCAAAGAATCACGAAGACTGCACCGAATCAAATTTCTATGGATCCGACACTTGTGAAGTAAAGAGGTCGAATGACGAGACAAATAAACAGAACCAAATTGATCTTACTAACTTTGAGTTCGCCGACGACTCTGAACGTCAAAAATTTGAAGAGCTTTACAATACACATTATCAACTTTTATCTAACTTTGTTCCAAACTTTGAGATTCCGAATGAATTTTTAAATTTAATACCGGACGGTAGCATTACCGGATCGAATAATGAATTCTTTGATAGTTCGTACAACGATTTCAATAACATGAACAATGAATTTTATAACCTCAATGATTCATTTAACAATACTTATGGTAACGAATGTACGGAGGAGAACGGCATTTTTAATAACTGTCCAAATTTTGACCTTTCAAATTCACTAGGTATTTATAAACACAACGGCGTATAGCAACGTTTATTTTGTAGATTTCATCCTTTTTTTTTTTTCCTTAAGAATTTAGAGTTAACCCTTCTTCTTGTATCATATTTCATTCCATCTTTTCACATTACTTCTATGACTTTTTAAGATTTATTTCTAATTTCCAAGTTACGTCTTATATCTTTTGTAATCATTCATGCGACATTGAAAATCCTAAGAGCACATACAATTTCGTGCTTTGTAAAAAAAATAAAATAAAGCAATAACCATAATAACGAGATTAGAGAATTTTAACCGGCTAATGTACCAGGCAAATTTCTGAAGATACTGTATCTACAGTCCTTTGCTTCTCGATCTAGTAAAGTTTTTGAATGCTCCATTTTTAGAATTAATGCACCATCATCGTGTCTGGATGATCTTTCAAATTTTATTGGTTTAAGAATTTTGCTTGCTCATCAGATTTTATATATAAATAGTAATTGTTCCATAATTATGTAGGGTATTTACGATATACTTCCTTTTAAGGACATCAAGAAAACTACGCCCGAAAAACATACTTTTTAGCTTATCAGAATCCACAAGATCTTCCATCATCTATAAATTTCATTTCACAAAAACAAACATTCTTATTTGAATAGCGGTTGCGGTCAGTGCACCAATGCCATTATCTCTTGAAAAAGTTGAATAAGGTAGATGGAAATTTTTCTATAAAAAGAAAAAATAGTACGCTCATGCGGTTGGTAAACAATGCAATATTAATAATTAAATCTCTATTTGCTATTTATTTTACTGATTGTTATTTTTAATTATA